GTAACGTAATGTACCACTTGGTACCCCAAAATAAATTGAGGAGGTTCAAGTATTTCACCATCTCTATTACTACGACTGGTGTTTAAGTCATCTTGACTACAAGTCTGGTAAGTGGTTAGTTGATTTCACTTACTGAGGTCTGTTTGGGTTTCAGAAGGTCTTTTTCTTTTTTTTAGCTAACCGCAGCCACAAAATCACCTCGTTTAATTTATAGGTAATTTGTAACAGCTTAAGTGTATCCACCTATTTTTGTAATATGATCAGTAAGTGGAGGTTGTATTTTCAGAGTTGTTTGCCTCCATTATTGGCATCACCGGGCCATATTCCTTATTTTATCAGTTGCTCATTTTCTTCGATATGGTCTTGTCGAAAACCCTGAAAAGAGCGACGTTGAGATATCACAGTAAGGTCAAAGCGACAGACCATTTCCGTACAATTCCCGATTGAACTCTTTTAAAACTTACCGCTCTCACAGCCACCTGGCTATCGGCGAAGATAGTGACTTTTTATGCTGGAACTGTGTTCTTTAGTAAAAGACCAAGTGGCTTCTCCTTAACATAAATCTCAGTTTGGAAGAAGACGTAGTCGTATGGCAGACGAAAAGGCCAACTAATCTGCAGGTCCTCTTATTAGAGGCGAGCGCTATTTCTTTGCTTAGCCTTCTAAATATCAGTTTGATGGCTAAATGTACAATCATTTGCCACTGTTATTCGACGTTCCATTTTTTTCTGGTCATAAACCGTTTATATATCACGGTATTTAAGCCTTAAACCGAGGTAATAATGCATCGTCAATGATGGTCACTGAGCTTAAGTGAACCCCGCGAGGGACCGTGGTATAACCTAACGTAAATGTAGCTTAGGCCGAGCAAAAAATCACACGATAATCCGTTGACTGTGGTAATCCAACCCGTAGCAAAATAGAATTAATGGCAAAAGGAATTTTTTTCTGCAAACGGTAGTTCTTACGAAAACGATAACATTAAAAAAACTGTTTTTATGCATACTAACTTCGATAACTGTCAATATTTGGATAATAATAGCAATAACAAAAACTATATTGTTAACACGAGCGATACCGAGTATGATAACTACGTTTATGCTGATATTTAATATTACAAGAAATAAAACGGCACAAATTATAAAATTAATAACGATATCTACAACAATCCATTTAGCTATAAAGATGCCGATAACCTTTATGATATTGATAATAAATATTGAAAAATTAATAACCAAGCAAGTATAGATGGCAATACTTGTAGCTCTAGATATATCGATAACCTTTTTGACATCGATAACTTTAATTATACGTATTAATTATAAGAATGTCAATAACTGTAATAATATCGACAACTATTATGATATGGATAGCGAATATGTAGAAAGTTTTATAAGCATCAATAAAATCTTGGCTTGAAAGTTACACGAAGCAGTCTTTGTACGAGGGGATAAGTCTATGTGCACAAGGCAAGAAGTTTTAAGTCAAATTCTCACATCTTCATTCTAGTTTTATACTTTGGTACACTGATGCACCGGAGATCGAGAAAGCCACGGTCCATGACAACATTGGCTTGCCAGCATAAATTTAAAACAGTGCATAGAAATAGAAAAAATCTTTTTTTTTTCTCGTCACTCATGCTTTAACAGATCTAGCCCATATCGTAGCCCAATGACTGGGCTCTTATTCCGTTTCTTTTAATTTGCAGTCCACTTCAAGAAGCGTTGAAATCGCTGATTTTTTCCTGTTAAATATTTTGTATAAAATAGAGTGATTCAGAATGGAAGTCATTATCATCTTAAATGTGTTAAGAATAGTCTACCTGCCATTTTCGAATTTTTCTGGAATAAAGACAGATAGGTATGAGAAGTGGGTGCCACCTGTGGCAGCACACTTAGGCCATAGATAGACGCCCACCTGCTGAATCACATCAAGCATCTTGCGTCAGTTTAAGATGCCACAGCCCTTTCCTACACAGTGCGGGACACACAGGAGATCTAAGACCGTTTGCTGCTCTTAGTAGTTCTGCAGCTTTTCCAAAATCTTAGAAAAGGCAAGTCGAGCATTTCTGCATATTTTCCCATTAGACACTGCCCGGTTAGAGCCCTTACAGCGTTAGCGACACATTTCCTCTCTTCTCAGAATGTATACGCTTCATGACCGTTTTGTATCCTATTTGGCCACGTCTGCCTTGAAATTCGTCGTGCTTAGGTTTCATCCATCCATTATTTGTGTATAAATTCTCTAAATAGCATAGTAAAATAATCTATCTGTTCGTGCCTTGCCCTACAAGTTCATCTTCCATGCAGTTTCCCTCTATATTTGTGATACCAAGGACCCAAGTGAGTCTGTCCGGCTTGGCCAATTCCTGCAGTGTTAGACAGCAGTCAAGCACAATCCTTGAATAAAACGTGAAAGCGCTCAGAGCTTAAATTGCAGCTGGGATATCACTAAAAATTAAAACCTCTCTGCCTAGAATTTCGCTTCCAAGTTTCTCTACTACAGCCACCTTTAAAGTGGAAACTTCAGCTTGGAATAAGCTGCAGTAGTCTGGTAACATATAAGAGATGTCCCAAAAAAATCGCTAGCTCCCAAATATTTTTATGTTAATTGTATATTGTAAACTCGAAGAGCAACACCCAAAGAGCAGCAGTTTTTGTTTTGAATATCTTTTCCACTATAATTATTACAATCCATGTAGTAAGTATAAAGGGTTTCACGCCCCACCACAAGCACAAACTGTCATCGCCCCTATTTTTTATATATTTATATATTCAGACAAATTCAAAATACAAAACCACGTACATACGTAACTGACACTAACAGCCACCGGCAAAGCTCCCCCGCCTGCTGGCTATCTTTAGCTTCTTTATCTATCTAGTCCCATTTTTTTTGGGTTCCAGCATCGTTTTAGTTTATGCATCGTAAAATTTTATTTTGTAAAAATACAATTTTCCAGTTTTCCTTATTTCTGCTTGTCTTCATTTGTATTGGTGTCTGTGCAACTAAATATATTTATTTTAGTATAAGTAAATATGTTTGGTTTTTGCTATTCTTGGGGCTCTCTTTGCGTTTGGCATCAGTGAATTATAATATTTTTTTTATGTATTTGGTAAAATAAACTAGCATATTACTTTCACTAAAGAGGAATTTATATTGCATTTGCGACATTACGAGTATTATGAAATAAATCGTCTCCTTTTGTTGAGAAAGACAAATCATAAGAATTTAATATGTACATAAATTTGCATACATACATTTTCTTTTGAATATGTTTAGTATTTTTTTAGTATTTTTGCTGGTTTCGATGTTTTTTTTTTGTCTTTTTGGACCGAAACCCAAATTCACTACCCCGATTAATAAGCCGCAAAGTAACAAAATGAAACGAATAGCAAACGACTCGATGCGGTATGGCAATTATGAAGGAGGAATAGCTCTAAGGCTTCGTTTCACCAGATTCGTTTAAGTGGAAATAAATTTAAATTTAATTCTCAATAAAGTATTTGTTTTCACTGTCAATAATCTTTTTATTTAAGTGAGTTAAAATAGGGCAGCACCGTACTAAAAGTAGTAGTAAAAGCAAGGCTGCATGCAGAAAGAAACTGGTTTGTGTATATCAATCATCTGATTAAATTTGATTTTAATAAAGAACATAGGTTATTTACTTCAATCAAAATTAAAAACAAATTAAATGGATTGGTGAAACCAAAAATTCGAAAATTAAAATAATTTGGACTGAAATCATCTGGTAAAACGCAGCCAAAAATATTGGACCACTTGAAGTGTTTGGAGCAAATTAGTAATAATTGAAATTAAATTAAATTGAATTAATTTAAATTAAATTTTTTTTCAATCAACTCAATATGGATTTCAGGGACCTGTTATGCCTTTTTCAAAAAAAAATCGATAAATATAAAATCTATAATATACATAAAAATTCTTTCCGCCTGACTTCTTGAATTGGAATTTCAAAAATAAGTAACTGTTATTTTCAATCCGTAAGGTATCAAATGAAAGTGCTTGACAAGTAGAATACCTTGCATATAGTGAAACCAAGGCGTCGAGCCTTCTTTTTTGAATAGAATGCACTTTTTAAGTTTTTCCTTTTTTTTTATCCCTTTCGTATAAAATTTTTTTTCGGGGTTCTTAAAATAGGCACTTGTTTCGGTAAAAGCCTGTTCACTCAACTCAAATCTCTTACTGCTAAGCTATTTTGCAGGTTTGTAAATAAGAAAAGTTAAATCGGGAGAATATGAAGGATGTGGAGTATTTCATTAGCTATGAGGAAAATTTAAAAATTACTAACTTATCAAGCTGCCCTCGTAGTTATTTCTATCTAAGTTAACAATGATGTAAAGACGAATTCTGTTAATTCAAGCACAACAGTCGGCAACAGTCGGCAACAGCGAGTTTAATTTGCATAATATTTCGCTTAGATAAACAATTACGAATCAATATAAAACTGAAGTATCTTTATAAACATTTCAAAGACTTTAAACTTACCTTAAATTGCTGTAAACTATTGCGGATAATCCGTTGTTGCTGTACTAATACGCTTTTAAAATTGAGTTCCATTAAACCATAGATCTTCAATTTATTGCCGCAAAAATTAATGTTTTAAGAAGTTTATTATTACAATATTGTTGTTAATTGATAACTAAATTATTGATTTTAATTTCGTTACATTTTTGTATTGTATGCACTTTTCTAAAGAATTTTACAATTATTATTTTATGCAAATTTTCAGATAATTTAAATTTGCCACTGTAATTTATAGCATTGATTTTTATGTTTTTTTTTGTATTATAGAACATTTAGTATTAAGTAATTTGCTATCTTTGGAGATTTGGTTTTTAAAACGGATTACATTTAGTCGAACTTGTTATAATTATTCACGCTTTTGTATGCGCTTTTTCCTACATTACACTCTGGGCGTTGTCATATTTGCTTCGTGGGCGGGGCGGGTTCTTTACTGATATGCCTTGTTGCAATTATTTGATAAACATCACGTATATATGTACATTATTATTAGTAGTAGATTAACTGCAATTCGTTATTTCGAACAATTAAATTAACGCCTTTGAAACATTTTCGTTTTTTGTCAGCTGCTTAAAATTTATTGCTGTCGTATTTAATTCAGTTGCACAATATTTAGCCAAGGTTTTTTACACAAACATAAAATTCGACGATCAACGTCATTGTAACACTGCAATTAGAAGAGAACAGAAATATTTAATTAGTTAAAACTTTATTTAAATAAATGGTATTAAAAGCTGACTAAAATCTACATACATATCAGCGAGCTTTACAATTTTCGCCAACAAACTAACACAAATCGAGCCAACAAATCAGCCCATTTTTATTGCTTCGAATTTTATATTCTCTTTTTCTTTTTGTTATTTTTCTTTAGCCTTTCAATTAATTTTCTTTTCTTGCCTTACTCGGCCCCACCTTGCACTTACGCCGACTGCTATATAAAAGAAAAAAAAAATCAATAAAAACAAAAACTGCAAATTCTTGGCTTTTGCTGGCAGTTACGAAGAAAAAACAGTCTTTGGATTGGAAAAGTTCTCAAATGAATATTTTCCCCGCCCACTCGACCCGGAAGCACTACAGTTGCCGCAATTGCAGATACTTCACACTTCCGCTTTTCAAGTTGTTCTTATTCTTACAACAAGTACAACAAAAACACCAAGAGCTCAAGTGTTGAGTACAAGTGCAATTACAGTTGTACAAGTACACATACATACATATGTATGAATATAGACTTTTTCAGAAGTACCCGCATACGTGTGGCCATAGGTGCATATGTACCTACACAAGGATGTCACGTGCGTATTGCTGTGTTCAAACAAAAAAAAATAGTCTAACTAGAAACTCAAGTGTTAAACACAAAGATGATGAAAAAAAAATGTTAGATATTTTCAGAACTAATCTTTAAGTCCGCTCCACGTATAAAGGTGCAAAGTGATGCTAAGTGTAGTAGAGCATCAAGAGCCGGGGCAGGTATTATAGAGGAAGCTCCCGAACAGCGCACGACGAATTAACTTTGAAGTTTAGGAGCACATTCTCTTCGCTATTGATTGAGGGTCTGCTCGACCATACCACTGATGCGTAGCTGTTAATAAGTGTGATCATCGAGGTATATGTACATCCTCTTGGTGACAGAACACACGTTTTACCAAAGACCTATTCCCATTACCAAAATACCGCCAATACCTTGGAGCTCTTACTTCTAGATACTTATCTTCGAAGGAGATCTGAATTGTGACTCTGTTAAATGTTACACTGTGCGACAGCCGAAACCAGCTCGGAACATTTTCTGAAAGTATAGCCATCCAGTAGTTAAACACTCGATGGATTTACAAAAGTTAGCTCGTATTTTTATTTTATGGAGCTTTCAAAAAATGTTGAAAAAATGGTTCAAATAAATATCTGAGCGAAATTAAAGGTTAAGAAATATATAATAAAATTTCTTGGGAAATATTTTCGTAGAACATTTTAACCAATTAGCTCCCGCCTGAAAAGGTCGTTTTGACCCTTCCTTCAAGAAACCCCGCAAAATGCAAATTTGGAAGTTCGTTAGAGGATTGATATATTCTAGAAAATTATTCTCCGGAAAATTATACTAGGGGTCTTCTCAGGCTACCAACGTAAGCGTATATATGCCAAGAAGGAATAACATCCAGACTCAATTAAAAAAATAAAAATAAATAAAAAATGTGGACAAAAGCCAAGTTTTTTTGCTGTTATTCCTTCTTGGCATCGGTTTTTTATTTTAACTTTTAAGAGACCTTCACGTTGGTGGCGCGAAGTTTTTTGCCTGAGAAGACCCCAAGTAAAATTTTCCGAAGTCTAATTTTTAGAAAATATTAATCCTCTATGATTTTCCAAATTTGCCAAAATCTTAGCAAAGTGCGGACTTATTTGAATTGTCTTGAAATTGTCGCACAGGAACTAAATCATCCAACCTTCGCCTCCTAGTGAAGATCACCACCCAAGTTTATGTAGGATGGAGGACAGCCCATTGCAGTTACATCAAGTGTCGATCAAAGTCAGTGTTCTTTGCACTTTCCTTCATACAACTGACAGAGAATTTAATATCATCTGAATAGGCTTGGACATGGATTACTCGATGCCACTACTCACATTTGTAAAAAAAAAACATATGGATAATACTAGTACTTCCAAGTACTTTTAATGTAACCGCGAAAATTAAACAAAAATCAGATTGATTGCTTCTATGACCTCATCGTATTTGTAAATTGAATGGACACCAAAAAGGTGTTTGATAAGTATAATTATAAGTCAATTAACTTTGAAAACGAAATGCAAATTTAGAAAATGAGAATCAATGTGGAGCCAAATATGTGGAAGCCCATTCTCTAAATTAAAGATAAGCTCTCTTTCACAAACATTATCTTCGGAAATTGGTTGGGTTTCGAATTTACAACAAAGATAGAATAGTTTGGATAACGAAGGCTCCGTTATGCTGGAGAATAGGCAAGTTATCGAACGGAAGACCACCCTCTTACCAGATTTATTATCGAAGGTGAGGCAAGAGATTCGTTTTCGAACTATTTAAGAATGACTAGCCGAGCCCAATGTTGAAATGACCGCTTCTCTTATTCTTTGTTTTCTAAAAATTTCATAGCTGTACCGATTATCAGTAGCTCACTGGAACAAAATAGGTATTAATTTTTACAATATGTTAAATTCAAAGCTTTAAAGCCGTTTTTCTCGAGTTTTTGGTTTTTAGAGTTATCACAGTTTTGAAATAAATAATCTTAGTGCTCATTTTCGCGGCAATCATTTTGGATGTCGAAGATAATTTTTAACAGTCGCCACAATGTGTATTGGGTAATTATACCTTTCATGAGCATGAAATGGTATTATAACTTAGGTCCGATGTTTGTAAGTACCAGAATAAGAAGAGATAGGACCCATTAAAATGTATACTTAAATGATCAGAACATCGCGCTGAGTCGATTTAGCCATGTCTGTCTGTCCGTATGTCTGTCTGTCTGTCTGTCTGTCTGTCTGTCTGTCTGTCTGTCTGTC